CGAAATTTAAGGTTTGACTTCGAAGTTTGTTAACCTTCTTCCTGAAAACAAGACCCAGATTTCCCCGGCCCGGGAAATTCTTCTTGGCTTCAGAGCAGTGAGTGTTTAAAATCTTACAGAACCGAGTAGTTTGTTGACTGAAGGCATGTTTCCATGTTCAACATTAACAGCCTCTGTTAAGAATTACAATTAGTTTTTTTCACACATTGTGTGGTTTTCACTTTGCCCTTCAGATGGTAGGGTAGTCACTTCTCCTTCCGTTTCTTAGACTGCTTCAATTCCATCCCTAGAGAATCAGGAGGAAGAGAGCCGCTGGGGTGGTATGTGTTCTCTTGTGTGATGCAAGGTCTCAGAGAAAAGCGAAGAAGCCAGGAGATGAAGTGCACCCTGCTAGAAGCTGGCCGGCGGTAGGATTTTCGGGAAAAGCTTCGGACAGGTAAAAGGGGCCACCCCCCTCTTTTAAAATATCAGAAGTCCACAGCATTCAGCGGTGGGCAGGTCTCCAGGAAAGACACGCTTGTTTTTGTTCTGCCCCCGCCAATTACATCGTAGATGACCAGGAGCCCCGGTTGTTTTTTCTTTTTTGTGGGGGGGGGGGGGGGGGGGGGCAAGTTCTGTATCTAAGCAGAGAATGGAATAACAGAGCACAGGCTGGGATGTTCTGTACCACACTGTGCATCTCCATAGGAGAAATGTGGGCCATCCACCCGCCTCCCCGGTCTGTTTGACACTTAATTTGGCAGCAGGAATGAGAAGAGGAGGAGGAGAGCGGGAGGGGGGTATAGAAGGCTGTCAGACAAACAAAAACAGCAGAGAAAAAGGCTGGGAGAGGCCCCGGGTGTGAAGGTAAGCATAAATGGGGGATTTCCCAGAAAATGAATCTGTTTCAACATTTTACGTGAACATTTGAGGGAAGTGCGTATTGAGAAATGACAGTTCCCTCCCTAACAAACAGGTGGGGAAAAGACAATGGTTCCTGAATGCTGCTTGAATAGTTATGAGGTCTCTTCACACATTCACGCCGTAACAGTAACTTTATAAATGCCCGAACTGTTCCAGTAAAGTTGGTCACATGGATG